GGATTCAGGTACATCTCACTAACAAGTCACAAACAAGATGAATTGGGTGACTTTGATTCTAATGTTAGTCACGATGCTGAAATATTGTGCTTTCAGCTAGGAAATTCATCGAATGTAGTGAATCCACGATAATTTCGAAGGATCTAACATGGGTTGATAAATAGCTAGGATGAGAAAATCACCGCTTGTAGAACAAGAACTTTTTATAGTCAAAATACAACAGACCGATAGGTCTTGGGTTTGAATCTCGTTAGGCGGGATCGTGGATGCACACTGCTGAGAAATCCTACAATGGGACGAAACGGCCGTCCAGTGCTTCCAGGTTTTCCATGGTGATCTAGCTTCAATTGACTCATGATTTCAACCATAAAAACCCTTGTTTTTCAATATAGGTTAATGAGTTGAAAACATAATGGTAAAACGATAACCTACTCTCAGCTTTGAATAATACTGGATATGATTTCGGAATTACTTAACTTTTATTATACAATTAGTACGCTGATCATTTAAATCAAGAATCTGTCGCTGAAAATGTTACAAAATGTAACAGTTACGTAGCTAACGAGTTTTTCAATGTTGTTAGTCGATATTTTTTACTGCACGTCAGGATCACTACAGAAGACGCCACAAGTATTTGGAGTTTGACAACGCCTTAACCAGTAGCACCTTCTATAATCGAAACGTGCCAACTCAGTAAAGTCAGAAGCGAAGAGATTCGAAGGTATATTTGATAGGCTATTAGTATATCGAAAAGTGACTAATCTAAATTGGCTAGCGGTTGTAGGAGAAATTGAGCACAGCGTACCCACTCGTGATCTGGTCGATATTCAGTGACCCAACTGCCGGATGATTTCGCTAGGGCTCAGTGACATTTCACTGGCCCTACAGTATTTCCCTTACACAAACTCATTTTTTCTCACAGGAAGATCAAGTTTTGTACGGTTTATTTAACAGATCATCGATATTTTTTATAAACGATCTCTCATAGTTGTCATAATATTCGTGGGTAAACTCACTGGAAGTTTAACAAAATGACGTACTAAGACAACAATCTAGAAAAATACAGAATTATTCAGGCAGTTATGTAACATGAAAAGCCTAATTATTATTCAGTTCGTTAGTAATAAGCGATATGGTTTGCTGTTGAGTTTTATCTTTAACCAAAAAGAAACGTATCCTCATCGATTTATGTGTTTCAAATGAGATCTCCTTAAGATGTCAGTCAGCTACAGCATAGGACCAGGCACATATATGCATCGATCCAAGTTACCATACCTCGTTAGCACAACAAGATGAACACCGGATTCATAGAAGTAGTTAGTTTAGTGGTGGTGGTAGTATATAAAAGATAGGTTGTATATAAGGATATAGTATAGGAAGAAAGACAGATATGAAGCAATTTTAATCTCATAGTTTAAGTGAAGATAAAGAGTGTATACATCTGCGTCAGTGTGATAGATTCTCCTTCAGAAGAAGTAAGGGTCTTACGTTATTTCGTTCTCACACTATGTTACTTAAGCATATTTTGATAAAATAAACATTTTCGTAATAGTCTTATGTGGTTAAAGCACTGTACAAATGTATCCTCTCTGAGATTCTTTAAAATTAAAAGGCTGTTTGAAAGTGATTTTTTTTTTAATTTTGCAAACAAAACTTAAACGTCATTATTCATGTGTATTGGTCGTTTGGATATCCTTATTGATTTTGAGATGATGAAGATTTATAGCTAAGGTAGATGACATCATCACAAACTTCAGGTAGAACTTTGTGATGATAATGTCGTTCAGAATAACGACTGCTTCTGGTCAATCTTTTTTGGTGTATATGGACCTATACTGGTTGCTCCTATGTTGCCATTAAGCGAGAAGCATTTTGGGAAGAGATGAATGATGACTGGTAGAGAAATCTAAAATACACGTTTCTTCCCATTTGGGACTCCTCAGCTGGTTGTGCTTGTATCTGAGTTAATGCTTGCTTCGGTACTCGAACTTGGCCAACGGGTTGTGTAATTATAGCCTTAGGCATCAATTAGAAGATCCAAATAATTAATACATATGAAGTAGAATCCATTCAATGCACAAGCCAGTTGTTACATGGACTCAATGACTAAATGGATAATGTGATAGCGACTGAAGCGAGCGGAACTATTTTAGTTTCGAAGTGAGATTCAGGTACATCTATTTGATGAGTCTAAAATAAGACGAAACACGCATCCTGAATCTCCTTACTAGCCACCATACGTCTCTGCTTGGTTTCACGGCGTAAGATAGATTTACCGAACTAAAGTATATATCATTGTTTTCATTTAATTGATCTGATAACAGAATCCTGTTCCTATATTTATTTGTGGCAGATAAAACAAAACTGAATAGAAATGGTTATAATTTTGTTACGTACGTGTTCTATTCATTTATGGGTGTGAGGTTCAAATGCAATTCTTGGCTAGATATTTCTCCGTGGTTATTACCGTCATATAGATTTCAAACTGAAGGTAGCATTAATAATCATAAGACTATTCCATACAATCCAGATATGATTTTTTTTTCGCGGATACAGTTGAGTGACCGATGTATCAATTATAACAAGTCGTGGTAAGTTCAGTGTACTTAGGAGAAAGAGAATGTAATCTAACAGAATAGTTTATTTGTATGAACAGTAGCATAACACGAAGAAAGTATCTTACCGTAAATAATATTAAGAAGCAAAGTTTTTCACAAAAGTTCTTATGGTAATTCTGAAGAACAGACAAATAAAACCACGTCTGTTGTGAGATAGGAACTCACTGAAGGCAATTGTTGAACGGTTGCTAAAACTTCGTGGATTGGTTGAAGGTAGACATTAACAGCATTGGATGCTGGGTATTGGTCTATCGGTTAAGTGCTCTGGCGCGAGACTGGTAGGTCCTGGGTTCGAATCTCGCTAAGCGGTCTTCCAATGCTTCCAAGTTTTCCTTGGTGATCTAGCTTCAATTGACTCATAAATTCAATTATAAAATTATTAAAATCTCCACAAACCCCTCTTACGATTTTCATAAGTATCAATTTTATATATTCATAGTAAATATACCGATGCATTTTTTATTGACAAATTTGTTGTCGGTATAATTCAGTTCTTATGTGGTGTTGGTTACTTATATCCACATAAGTAGTATATAATGATGATCAGGCAAAGAATGTATTTTGGCAGAAGATCGATAAGGAAAGAACAGAAACAAAGCGCAATCGGTATGAAAATGGATGAACAATCAAATCAGAGAAGATGAACTGATACTTACAGAAGGAACAGTGAAGATTGAGACAATTGATGGTTATTTTGTAAATTAACTGTTCATTGTATGGTTATCAGATTTTAGTGAGATAGTCTATAATTGTCATAAACATATTTGATTGTTTCCACCCATGTTCTATTCACTGCACTTACGATATTCAACGCTGATATTTCTGATAATAATCATTATTTCCAAGTTACTGTGTTGTCTTATATCTTATCCCCCTTCACAGTGATTCCTCAAAACAAAATCTTAGTTTATGATTTTTCTTTTGAAATCAATAAATTAAGTCAATCTATTAAAATCCAAGTATTCGAATACATGACACTATCAGCAACATTCTACTGTGGGAGAGAACAAACCAGATTCCAGTGGAGGTAGAAATCAGGAAGAAGCGCTCGAAGCGGATAGGACACACATTGAGGAAATCATCCAACTGCGTAACAAGACAATTTTATTATTTATTTATTTAAACACATATATATTGGTACAAAAGGGCACCAGGAACATATGTGCCACACTATTGTGTGTGTGGGCTGTGATACTGCCCGGGTGCCCAGACCGAAGCAGGTGGTTTTCTTAGGGTGCCACACCCCGAGCCTTTGACCAAAAGGTCTGATCCACAAGGCAGTGGAGCATCGTGAGGAGATGCAGTCCCATGGTAGCCGTTGACCAATGACAGGTTTGTCCGCCATTCGTTCCATCAGGATACTGGAGCCCATGTGCACCATTGGTTTGGAATGAGGGTTTTCCAACTCCCCTAGGTGGACCCTCCGTGTCCACCAACCCGGTTAAAGCGCCGGACATTCGCTTTTCGTCCTCTCACTTTCGTAAGCAACACCCCCGCCACGAGAAGGCAGTGAGTAGGACTTCCCTGACAGAGGCTATATATTCGCTGGCCATGTGAGAGCATTTGGAGAGGGAAAGTAGACTCTCCTCACTCTCGGCCGTACCAGGGCATTTGGGGGCAAGACAAGCTCTCACATGGAATCCTGAAAGCCAAAGAAGAAGATAAAGACCAAAGAACACATTACACCGAGAAATAGAGACAAACATGAGAAGAATGAACAAAAATTGTATAGAATTAGAAAGGAAGGCCCAGGACAGAGTTTGTTGGAGAATGCTGGTCGGCGGCCTGTGCTCCATTGGGAGTAATAGGCGTAAGTAAGTAAGTAAGTAAGTAAGTAAGTAAGTAAGTAAGTAAGTAAGTAAGTAAGTAAGCAAGTAAGTAAGTAAGTAAGTAAGTAAGTAAGTAAGTTCGAATACATATTTTGTAATCGAAAATTAATTTCTATCAATGTATATGTTAGTGGAAATGTCATGATGTTTGTTGATGAATAGGGATGATAGTGATGATAATGGTGATAGTATTATAGGTAAATACTTGTCCAAAAAGAAATACTTCCATTGTTTATCAATTCAATCATAGATACATGGTATTTATCTTAAAAACAATCGATCAATAAATCACACACACATTTATATAAAATGATCCTATCCCCCCTATAAGAATGGGGGAAAATACATCTATGAACCAATCAATGATCAGTAAGTGAAATCATGTAAATATGCACAAAGAAATATCTATATATAGAGATAGATAGATTATTTTATTAGAACCATTTTGGTGACGAACAATATTGGAATCTTGTTACTTTCTACTTTTATACAAAAGATCTACATTGATTACATTCATTGTACTGAAGTACATTACATTTTGGTGATTGGAAAAATGCATTTATATTTGACTATATTTGCTTTATACACATCAGTAAGTTCAGATTATATTATACTATATATGTGTCAGTCAATTTCGTGGATTAGTTGAAGTTAGACAATAATACAGTTGGTTTAGAAGTTAAACGTTTACACACAAGGCGGGACCATGGGTGCACACTGCTGAAGAGTCCTGCAATAAAACGAAACAGCTAACCAGTGCTTCCAGGGCTTTTTTTTATGGTGGTCTAGCTTCAATTGTAACATGATTTGTATATCTAATTATATGCCTGAAATTTGAGTTGCTTTTTTAAATGGGACACTGGGTGTTAGTTACAATGAATAATCCTTATCTATGGATTTATCACTGACCATATTTAATTGATATACTAGTTTCATCTGACATAAACTAAGACATTTTAAGCAAAAATAGATAGTGGTTAGCAATGGAATCCAGTTTGACGCACATTTTGTCCCAGAGTTAAGATCAACTATGGAATACAGGTAAATCTGGCTGATAAGTACCAAATAGGACGAAATTCGCGTCAAACTAGGTTCAACTGCTAACCACTATCCATCTTCTCTTAGAATGTTTGTGAATTAAAGCACTATCAAAGCAATCCACACAGGATTTACATATACCAACAAGAGACTGATCAATTTCAGTTCTAAACAATAATGGGTAGATACAAATAGCAAATAGCACTTAGTGAATATAAACTAACATAATTAATCAGAATTAATATTTTATAAATTTATATGGATTTTTAAGTACTTAATATAAAGTTTTTAGATAAGACTAGTCAACCGATGTATTGTATTAAAATGTTTAGGTTTCGTGCTACTTTGCACTCGTCAATAAAGTGTAACTGTAATCTTGAGGAAACTGATACTCCCTGATGGATTCAATCACATGTCACCCAGTTTCACAGTCAGGATCCTATCTACACTAAGAAAGACTTGAGATACATGACACTGATCACCACCTAGTGATCAATCAATTGTAAATAACGTTGTTTGTAATCGTTTTTCTAATTTGTTTTGACAACCATCTATTGGGATTCATATTAAAAGTGTTCATTTTCGTATGTATCATTAAACTGTATACATTTTATTTTCATAGGAATCACACATTTGATCATAGTCAATGACATATTAATCATAGTTCGTTACCATGCAAATCAGTTACCTAGCATAAATATTAACATTTTTAAACTCTAAATTCATTTAGTATTGTTCGTTTGAATCTTCTCATTGATGTGTTAGGACTACAACTGGTCAGTCTCTAATTGGCATATGTGCATACTGTGTGCATTGCTTCGATGGCGATGGCATTTGAAGCGATGGTACTGGGTTCGAGTCCCAGAGTGAACATTAACTCTGAGATGCAGGTACATCCAGCTGACGAGTCCCGAATAAGACAAAATGTGCGTCAAACTGGATTCCACTGCTACTCAATATCCATCTTTGCTTACAATGTTTTAAACTCTACTTAAGTTTCTCTCCAATTTTTGTTTCAAATGAGATAAGACGTCAAATCTCTATAAGCAGTGTAGTTTCAATGAAGGTAACGTTCCCATTTAGACATTTAGAAACAAACAAAAATTATTACTATCAGAAGGGGGTTTTATGGAGATTTCAGTAATTTCATAGAGTTGAGATCATGATTCCATTGAAGCTAGACCACCATGGAAAACCTGGAAGCACTGGATGGTCGTTTCGTTCTATTATGGGACTCCTTAGCAGTGCGCATCCACGATCCCTACTCGCGAGATTCGAACCCAGGACCTACCAGTCTCAATCCACAGCACTTAACTGATAGACCATGGTGGTCTAACTTCAATTGATTCATGATCTTAACTCTATGAAATTACTAAAATCTCCACCGAACCCCTTTTGATTATGATCATATGCTCACTAGTGACTGACTCCATGAGGTATTTCCTGAAGTTCTAGTGAGAAGCATTAACCAGTGAAGTTCAACCAGGTCTGTTGGGAGATATCAACTCACTAAGGAGTCCCATAATAGGACGAAACGGCCGTCCAGTGCTTCCAGGTTTTCCATAGTGGTCTAGCTTCAATTGACTCATGATCTCAACTATAAAAAATCATTACTATTAAAATTTTTGAATCCTCTTCTTCATTGTTTTTCCAAATCACTTGGTTCTACTGAATTCTAGTTAGTAGTTAAACAGAACAATATCCATCTTCGCTTACCATGCTTGTGAATTTAGGCTATATCGAGGCAATACGCACAGTATGCACATATGCCAATTACAGACTGACCAGTTGCTGTCCTAAAAACATCAATGGGAAGATCCAAACAAACAATACTAAGTAAATTTCAACTTCACCCCATTGCACAAGCGAGTGGCTATCAGGACTCAGTGGCCGAGTGGATAACGCGATGGCGTTTCAAGCGAGAGTTACTGGGTTCGAGTCCCAGAATGGACATCAACTCTGAGATGCAGGTACATCCAGCTGATGAGTCCCAAATAGAACAAAACGCGCGTCCTGGATTTCACTGCTAGTCACTATCCATCTTTGCTTAGTCTGATTAGTTTACTGAAGATCCATACTGGGTTATGATAGTCTTTTTTCAGTTTTTAATCACGAAATGAACACTATTTTAAAGAAATATTATTGACTGTGTACATTTTCTGATTAGGTCAATGGTTCACTACCTTGAATAATAAAACCCATTATCTATTGATAAGTATCAAAATATCTTCAAGTGAATGATGTTGAATGAAAGTATGTTATTGTTATAACTTGTAGCTATCAATTGTTGTATCTTGTACCCGCCTATTAGAAAGCAGCGATTTATTGATCGGACCAGTGACTCGTGAAACCTGTACAAGCAGTTTAGAGTACATGTTGATTCTGCCTTCTGCCTAGCTCAGCCATTTAAGTCCAGAACAACAATAACAGCCTCTCAAATATGAATCATTACATTTCAAATATACTGAATTTATATACCAAACAGACTGACCACATCGTACCAGTAAAATAGAAAATAACATTTGTACAAGATTCAGCCAAATGTGGCTGTGAATAGGGGGAACAGTAAGTAATAGACTCAAGAACTCAAGAACAGTAAGTCGTATAGTACTAGTTCATAGGTCAAAACGAAGCTTATAATAAGAGGGACATGAATATGAATAGTTTAGTTACTTGACAATTATACAATAGGAAATAAACATATCATATTAGTCCATAAATAGTCCTCGAAAGTTACTTACTTACTTGCTTACTTACGCCTGTTACTCCCAATGGAGCATAGGCCGCCGACCAGTATTCTCCAACCCACTCTGCCCTGGGCCTTCCCTTCTAGGTTTATCCAGTGTTTGTTTTTTTGGTCTTCCTCTTCGACTTCGGCCTTCAGGATTCCATGTGAGAGCTTGTATTGTGAGGCAATCGGGTGATTTCCTTATCCACTTTCAGTGCTTCTTCCTGATTTCTACCTCCACTGGAATCTGGTTGGTTCTCTCCCACAGTATTTTGTTGCTGATAGTGTCTGGCCAACGGATCCGAATTATCTTGCTTAGGCAACTGTTAATAAACACTTGTATCTTCTGGATGATGGCTTTCGTAGTTCTCCACGTTCTCAAAAGCTAGCATTCATAATTCTCTTTGGAATATAACAGTAATATTAAGAATGAAATTGTTTAATAGTGTCAATGATTTTCAACTTTAAGTTAGAGCATACTGATAATCATCCGCAAATCAATCAACCCATAAAATACCAAATTGAAAAGACTTTCTACCTATTATAAATGATTATATCCAAACTATTAGTCCTTTCATCCCGCTTTTGTAGATGGTCACTCTGACGATAATCAATCAGATTTATATTGTTTATGTAACACACATATTATGAGTCCAGTGACCTTTACTCCATAACAACGAGCCAAGAGAACATGAAATAAGTAGTGTAGATAAGGTGGTGGTTGGAGGTGGTCATCAGGAAACCCTGGACCCGGGTTTCGTGCTACTTAACACTCGTCTGCAAGGTGTACCTGTAATCTTGAGGGAACTGGTGTTCGAAACCCGGGTTCAGAGTTTCCTGCTGACCACCTCCAACCACCATCTTATCTCAACAAAGTGCACGCAGTGTTGAGCCACCTAGACTAGTGGCCACATTGCAACTTGATCGATAGCATTCGATCAGCACTAAGAAGGACTTGACACGCATAACATTGATCACTGCCCAGTGATCAATCAATTGTGAAATAGGTGGTGTGTCCATTTGTGAGAAGAATAGGGTTGAGTAGTTCAGCTTCTTAAGGATAATTTACATAGTATCTTAAATGTGATAATCAGTGTCAACCAATGAACCCTGAATTGTTGTTTCCTACATGTACAGGGCATCTTATTAGTGTGTACCAAAGACCGAAACCCATATCCTCACAGGGTGTACATTGGCTTTAGACTACTGCGTTGGAATTCGGTAGTTGATATGTTCACCTTCGGTCAACTTTAGTGTTCTTTTATATTGTATTTCCCTAACGACATAATACAGTTGGATTGTCTGGTTGCAGATCATTGACCGTAAATTTGACATATCCAGATAGTTCATACACCATTTCTAACTATTTTTAGTATTCTAAGATTACAAGTAAATACAATATTATACCTTAAATTTTTGATTTCAAGAAGGCTAAAATTTAGTTTGTGGTTAACTGATGAGCTAATTTAAAATTAATAAGTCAGTCTGAAATCAAACCAGCTATCATCACTTCGAGTACTACCAATATAAACCAATACTTTTCATTGTTGAATACATGAGTCAATTAAAGCTAGACCACGATGGAAAACCTGGAAGTACTGGACGGCCATTTAATCCTATTATGGGACTCCTCATGAGTGTGCATCCACGATCTCTCACCATAGGGACTTGGACCCGAGGCCTTCAGTTTCGTGCACGAACGCCAAACCTCTAGACCACTAAGTCGGCATCCATCCACGAAATTAAGCCACCGTCCGCCATTGTCCCTTTTCAATTATTTATCGGGTCAGTAATCTTTTGACAAAGCTTGTTAGACTTAAAGTCCT